CGTCTCTCTTGCTAGCGCAGAGAGAAATGTAATAATTAAACTGATTAGGTTTGGAATTATATCTGTGAAAGGTCCGATCTTTAAATGATCTCGAATACAGTCTCACCGCGACATTCAGATTCACCTTGTTATCCACCTCTTATTTAAACTGGCATGATCTTTATCGTTCGGGATCATTGAAAGATCGTCGTCGCGTGTAGGTCGCGAGACATTATTGGAAAAATAAATAAGAAGGAAGAGAAGTAAAACGTATCGTATTAATTGTCGAATAATTTTGCGATTTCATTACGTTTCTATTAATTGTAGTTTAGAGTAAAGTGAATGATTCAGTTTTTATCGATCTCGGTCGATGTCGATTTGACGGTGTAATGGAAGTACAATCCGTGCCGATCACTTGAAATATACATATGATACATATTATATAATACACATGAAATATACGTGTATACATATATATATATATATATGTGTATATATATACACACATATGATATTGATAAACTGTAACTCAAATCATTTAACTGCTATATACCAATATGAAATTAATGAATTATATGATAGAATAATTTTTTGTAAGTTTAGGCTAATGGAGATTGTTTCTCTAATTTTAAAAGTAGACTTGAGATTAATAAAGGAAATGCAATTAGACGAAGCAAGGTTTTGATACACTCAGGAATATTAATAAATGACAAGAAACTTAGGAATGTTTGAGGATGAATACGTAGTAGACCATCAATTAGGGTATTCAATTTCAAATTAACAGCTGTAATGGATTTGATTTGTTAAATTAGCAGTCGTCGAGGTGTGTTAGTGTCTAATAAAGTCTGTTTAGTTTGCGAGTCTCCTATTCTTTTCATTGTCACTAAACTAATGAGCAAGATCAGTTCGGTATTGAAAAAGAATCGTTCTCCCTTTTATTCTCGGTTATTTTCTCAATATTAATGTGCTGTTCTTTCTCGTTTTTTCATTAATTTCTGGTTTACCGTTACCAATGGCTGGTGCAACAAGAGAGCTACCTGTCTGTCAGTCAGAGTGCTACCAGCAAATTGTCAGTCACCGTCAAAAGTTAAACAAATGGGAAGGTAAGTTGGCAAGTATCGATACTTTAATCCATTTAAACATCAACGTAATTGCTAATTGTCAGGTTTTCCAAGGCACACACAGATTACAGGTACATTCATATATATATGTATATATATATATATATATTTATATATTTGTTCAGTGTAAACCTGGATTCAATTGAAATAAACACTTTTTTACAGTACAATCCTTTTACATTTATTTCGAAATGACATCCCGTCTCGAATTTCGATTAGTTGAAGATCGGATCGAATCGAATCGATGTTTAGCCAACTTCACTCACTTCCCCCTTTTAAATGTAATGTCGCGGAAACTCCTGTGCGCGGTTGGAAGAATTAAAGTTTTAATCGAGAATCGGTGAAGAATCTTCGTGGGCGTGGATCAAAAAAACATAAACTTTAGTTTGTCTATTCTCGTGAAACGTTTTCGTGAAAGTCAGTCGATTCGTGTGTTTGTGTGTCGTGCAGCAGCTTTGCCAGACGGGACTGCCAGTGGGAGTCGTAACTTTCGTGAGTTGAATTTTTAATTCAAGTACTAACAACAATAAGCATGCCTTGTTAACTTAATTTCGTACTGTCTGACGATCATCAAAATTGATCAGCAAATTACTATTCTGGTGGGGACTCCTCCAGCTTGAGCTGGGAAACATTAGCATGATGTCGGTGATACTATTTCTAAACGTACGCGTAGGAAAAAATTACGGACGTTGTGCAAATTGATCTGTTTCAATTTATTATTGACAACTTCTTGTTGAGATACAATCGTTCCATAATTTGTATTGCTCCTCGGTCGTAAAATCGATCAGTTCGCATTGGAACTGGTCTTGAAATGCAGTTCTGACTAATGGTAGAACATCATTGACGTTAACGTTAATATCTAATTCTGTACTGAGGCTAGTCACACACTTTCCCTGTAACCCGCAAGGCACGATATGATCGAACCATCGCAAATCAGTATTGCAATTAAGGGCAAACCCGTGGGAGGTCACGTATCGCTTACCGTGAACACCCACGGCGCATATCTTTTTTCCGCGTACCCAAACACCGTTATTAATGCTATCGGTCTGTCCTTTCAGGCCCAGTTCAGCGCACACGCGAATTATCATACTCTCCAATTGTCCGACGTACCATTTCATACTCCCATTTTTCACGAAGTTCTTTAAATTTAAAATAGGGTAGCCTGTTAATTGACCTGGACCGTGAAACGTGATCAAACCGCCTCTGTTAGTCCTATAAAACTCAGCACCCAAGCTTTTTAATTCCGAGATCTCCGAGTCTGAATAGGTGTGATCACGAATTCCAATCGTATAGACTGGATCATGTTCTAACAGTATTAAAGAGTCGCGATTCGTGTCATTGCTGCTAGGATTTTGTTTATCGATGCGGTGGCGATTAGATAGAATTGTCTGCAGATGCAGGCCAGTCTGATAGCTTATTCGGCCAGCAGACAGGACTTTTACTACGTTCTTGGACATCCCAATCGAATTATAATTTTATCGGTACCACTGTTCTCTAAGCGTCTCCATTTTCATTCCTCGCTTTTATTCCATGTTTCGTAACATCCAAATATTTTTCTTATCCTCGCACGAAGATCGACGAGAATTGTTGAAATCAGTGTATTCTGCAATGTAAACGTATTTGACTATAGATAAAAACAGGATTGTAGGTTAGATCTCTACTACGTACACTCACGTTGATCGTATTCTAACTTGGTCGTCCAGGCGAAAGAAATTTGATGTACTTGTGTGTTAAAATGATCTTCTCAATTCTCCTCTCTTCTTCTTCTTCTTCGCTCGTTCACTGATCTGAAAGATCCGATGATACGGAATTTAGCTATTTTAACGAGAGTGAATTTCTTTCTGAACATTAACTCATTCTCTAGAGTAGACTCAATGTAGTAACCAGGAGCAGGGAGGGATTAGAACAGAGTAAATTACCGTATGATATTCCTCTTTTTTTTATGAATTCGGAGTAACTGAGATCGTGTGTTGTGTGTAAAATGATGTAACAAAAAATAATGACGTGTCGATTTTGCGTAAAACCATCCCTTGTGGGGATCGAACCCACGACCTTTGGATTAGAAGTCCAACGCGCTATCCTCTGCGCCAAAGGGACTCGATGGGAGTTACAATTCGGGCTTATGGAATTTAATAATTACGAAATCGCTACTATTAAATTATTATTTAACTCTTAATTACATCAGATCAGTCGTGTAGTGTGTGTGTGTCAGTTCCGGGTACTATGTCTATTCATAATCGTCGACAGACGAAATTTAATCAAGGGGGTATGAATCGTTTTTAAGAAGACAATTTGAAAAAATCGACACGTGATTCTTTCACTTTTCTTTCCGTTTTGAATAGACACC